GACCTCCGCCGCCACCGCCCCTGCTCCCTCTTCCCCTCCGCGGCCGCCGCCGAGGCACCAGTGCGTCCGAGCGCGGCCGAACGCGCGGGGGCGCCAGACCTGCCGAGTCGGGTGGGCCTGGGGCATGCAGCAGGTTCGCGTCGTGCCCTTGACCTGCCGTTTGGAATGATCATTGCCGTCATTGCTTGCGCAGCTAGATATCCAACAGATATTGGTGTCAGCTGCGGTTTCACGATGCTTGTCCGGATACTTCGCAAGCTTGCTTGCTTTGTCAGACGCCGTCTGGCACTATGTTCCATCGTCGATTCGATTGCCCTGCTCACGAGGTTCACCTGCGTCGGGCGGCGGATCGGATTCGCCTCCTCTCGTTCAGGGCCCAGGAGCTTTTCTCCAGGTGTGTTCTCCCTGACCCCACCTGTTGGTTCGCCCGCCCCTCCCAGCCCCCAGACACCGCGGCGTATCGGCACAGTTGGCCTTCCGAAGGACTGGTGCTGGGGGAGGGCACGCACATCTTTCACGATGGTTCGTCCTACGAGCCATCTCTTCCTAGGATTCATTCGGCGGGGTGGGCGGTGCTGGTGACGGATGGGTGGAGCAAGGTGGTTCGCGCGATCTGGGGGCGCGTGCCTCACTGTGATGCTCCTGCCCAGGAAGCCCGTGACGATGAGGACTACGTGGTGGTTTCGCTGGTGCGTCATGCCACCGTTTTCTTTGGGGCCAACTTGTATGGGGACAGCTATGGGACCCTTGGGTACTTTTCGGACCCCGTGGCCGCGGTCAATCCTGGAAGCGCTCATTCCCACTTGTGGCAGAATGTTTTTGATCAGTTTGACGGCGTGCGGTGGCAGAAAGTGCCCGCTCATTGTACTCTTCGTGGCGTGGAGTCTGGGGAGCTCGGTCGTCTGGAGTTTCTGGGCAACAGGGCTGCCGGTAAATATGCGAAGCGAAGTGCCCCTCTGGAAAGGATTCCCGATCTCGATCGCGCCGTCGTCTCTGGGTGTTTCGAGTTGGCTCGTCTTTTGTGCAAGTTTTCGGCCGAGCAAACAGCTCGGACAGGTGACAGTCAGCAGTTCGATCATGTCGGTATTGGTTGGCTTGGGCACATCTCTTGTGAAGTCCCCTCTCTTCCTGAGGAGTTGGTTTGTGAACTTGGGTGTGGGTGGGGATGCGTGTGAAGAGGGTCGGGCCGAGTGGCCCGACCCCCATGTCTGGCCTGGCTTGGGGCATGCCATCATAGAGGCGGGGGCCACGGACCTCGAGGGGAGGGCCGAAGATTCCCTCGTCTTTTGCACCTCGTGCGGCTCGATCAGTGCTGTTGGTGGTCATGGTGGTCGCGGCAGATTGTTCGCGCGTCCGCTGCTCGGGTCGGGAACGACAGTTGGCTTGGATTTCGCAAGGCCGCCATCCTTCGAAGAAGTTTTCGCCTAGCGTCTGTCTTATCTGACTCAAGTCGTGATTTCCTCGCGGCTAAAGTGGGTCTGGACGACCTCCCCTCTCTCGTGCCGCCACGAGCCGGGAGTCCCCTGGCTTCATCGTCGGGAGGGGGTGGGAGGGTTTGGGCAGGTACTGGACTGGGGTCGACCTTCCGCGTGGCCTTGCACTGTTTGGGCTCAGATCTCGTGACGAAGCTGAGTCTTTCGGGAGTAGAGCGCGAATGCGCTGACGGCAGGGTGTGCCGCTCCCCGACGACCCTCGTTTAGAGTTTAGTCGTTGCATGGTGAATGGGGTGTTACCTTCATAGCCGGTGCCGAGCTCCTCCTGCTGCTCCTCCTCCTCTTTCTCTTCCTTTCGATTTTAATCGGACTTCATTCCGGGGTGTGCACCGTTTGTGAGGAAACTTCAAAGAGCTGTGCCGATTTGGGCGCAGTGGCCTGCAATCTCGACTTAGGCGCTGTGACCTGTCACTAAACCCATCTGCATGCAGCAGTAAGCGATATGGCTAAGCGAGAACGGAAACATGTGTTTTCCTCCTCCGCTTTCCTGTCTCCTCCCTCCTCCTCGTCCTCCTCCTCCTCCTCCTCCTCCTCCTCCTCCTCCTCCTCCTCCTCCTCAATTGTTTTTTGCCACAATCGCGACTTTGAGGATGCGGCCTCCGAGAGTCCTGGCGCAAACTGTTTTGGGCAGTGGGTCGTGTCCACTTGCAGCCACCCCAACTAGGAACTCGGGGATGGCCGTCCCATCCTCAAAGATGGTTTAGGCACCCTGAAAGTTTATAGCGTGATTGGCAGTATTCCTCCTTCTCTTTCTCCTTCTCCTCGTCTTTCTCCTCTTCCATATTATTCAATCGCTTCGCTCATTCCGCCGGCCCATGTTGCATGATCGCTACTGCTTCGCCGTGGGCCCGGGGCCATTGTGGCGCCGCCGAGGAGGAAGAAGATGAGGATGGGGAAGGGAAGGGGAGGAGGAGAGGATGAGAAGGAGAGGAGGAGGATGAAGATAAGTAGGAGGAGGAGGAGAAGGAGGAGGAGGAGGAGGAGGAAGAGGAAGGGGCGGAGGAGGAAGCCTCTCGTTGGCATCTTGTGTTGTTCTTTGGGCCAAACAGGGTCGTCGTCAAGATGCTTCTTTGGGAGGCATCTTGGGGTCTTTTGAGAAGCCGTTCGGGGGCGCCTGGGAGGCATTTTTGAAGCCTTCTGGGGGGCCTCCTGGGGGCCTCCTGGGGCCTCTTGGCGACATCTTGGACCTCTTGGGGGCCTCTCGCCTCCTGGGGCCCTCTTGGGGCGGAAGGCGCGAGGTTTCGGTTCGTGGTCCCCCTCTTGGGCCCCTCTTGGGGCCGTCTTGGGGCCGTCTTGGGCCGTCTTGGGCGCCTCTTGGGCCGTCTCGGGGCCCTCCTGGGGCCCTCTTGGAAGCCTCTTGGCGAGTCTTGGGGCGCTCTTGGGGGCCTCTTGGGCCGTCTTGGAGCATCGGATGGCCGAAAAGGGGACAAGGCCCAAATCCTTCCAACACCATCGTGCAATTTATGATTTTGGCCTCTCGGGGCCCTCTTGTGAGGCCTCTTGGAGGCCACTTGGAGGCCTCTTGGGCCGTCTTGGGGTCATCATCGGCGTCTTGGAGCGCTCTTTGGGCGTCTCGGGGGCCCTTTGGGCAGCCTTGGGGGCCTCTTGGGCCCCTCTTGGCGCGCTCTGGGGGGCCTGAGAAGCCACACCCAGGAGGAAAACCATCCCTGGGTAGCAGTGGTCGGGTTGCGGTCGGGGTACTCTTCGCCGGGGGACCCCCAGGGGCCGCCCCGCGCGCGCGAACTAGAAATATTGTTAACCAGTTGCCGGAGATCTTAGCACGCCTCTGGCCCGTTGGGCAGGCGAATTATCCTCCTCTTCCTCTTCCTCCTCCTCCTCCTCCTCATCCTCCTCATCTTCCTCATCCTCCTCATCCTCCTCCCCATGCCGAGCCCATGGGGTGGTTTTGTGTGACGCATTGGGCGCCGGTAAGGGTGCGCGCAGGGCGCGCACCCGACGAGCACCTGCACAACCACCCCTGGGGTTAGGAAACCGGGGTGGCACTGGCTCACCCTCTAAGCATCCCGCCCCCACTGTTGCATGGCTGTTTGTCCCGCCATCCGTTTTTCTTCGTCTTGCTCCGTCTTACCTCGCTTCTGCTGCTTCCCCGTCAGTTCGCCTCGGCGAATAGGGGGAGAACGCCATCCATCCATCCAACCAGCCAGCCATCCATCCATCCATCCATCCATCCATCTCTGTCCCGTTTCTTGATCTCTTTGTGTTTTTTCGCGTCTCGCTCCAGTTTCTCGCCCATCCTCCCATGCCTTGCGTTTTGCTTTTTGCTTTTCTGCTCACCCGCTGTGTGCGCATCGGCGGAAGGGGGGTGACAGAGAGGCGCGCGTCTCCACGGATCTTGACGCCTAGGATATTCCCAAAGAGGTTTCGACCTCCAGGAAACAGCCTGGCGACAATGCCTGCCGTCCTGCATGCGTCGCCTTCCGATTTGCTCCCACCCTGGCCCCCCAGGGAGGTGTCGACCGCCCGGGCGCAGTCCAGCGGCAATGCCAGCAGTCCTGCGTACATTTCCCACGTGCATGCGCGTTGTACGCACCTTCGCACACCCCCCCATTGAGGGCAACAATATCGATAGGTCGACCGGGGCGGTTTCACTTCGGACGGAGATTTTTCCCCCTCTCCTACCCCCCGCGCGGTGCGTAATCAAGTTTGCCCTCGTGGGAATAGCTGTATCCAATTTCTAAGGTCAGAGTTCGGGGGCCTGCAGGCAACCCTATCCCCCACCATGTCCAAGTGGGCCGCCCCCAGCCCTGCACCAGGGGCTGGTTGTGGGGGGTGTTTTCCCCTGCGAATCCTCACGCATCTCGTCTCTCTCTCCACCTCTGCGCCCGCGTTCCTGCCGCTTGTCTCCACCTCTCGCCGCCCTCACCCGCGGCCCACGGAGCCGCCCTGCTGCAACGAGGGTGCCCTCCCCCGTGATGTATTTTATCCCAGGCCCACTTCGTCTCCCGAGCCGCCGCTCCCCCCCACCCCCCGGGGCCGCCTCGCAGGAAAGTAGCCCGCCTAGAGCCGACCCAGCCTGTCCCGAGGCCACCAGTGGTCTTGGAGACACGCGCGCTGGGTTTGGCAAGCCTGTCTCACGTTCGCCAAAGGTGCAGGCCGCCCTGCACCAACGGCCGCGCCTTGCCCAGGCCACAGCGTTGCTTTCTCTCAGTTTGCCTTGAACCCCCCGCAGGCATACCATCCACCTGTTCAATAATTCGTTGGGGGTGGTATTGTTCTGCGGTGCTTGTGGAGCGTACTCGGGATCGGGAAATATCAGGAGGTTCAAGGAGGATTGCAACCGCGAGCTCACCTCCAACGGGGCCATATACCCCTGGGACAGATTCTCTAGAGGCCAACATCCCGATTTCAAGAAAACGCCGGCGAACTGCCTAGGTGAATACAAAATCCTTAGCCACAGCGTTGCAGTCGTAGTGTTGTGCGCTCTCGCTTCCTATTCGCCGTCTCTTTGGAAACCTGGGTACCACGCAAGCGAAAACACGAGCGTTC